AAGTGGAGAGGATATTGGAAAATAGGCATTAACAAGCAAGTTACAGTAACACAGGAAATCACATGCAGTAATATATATTGTGAGCAGTGTTATAAACAATGAAGAAATCACATACAGTAATGTAGAATAAAAGCAGTGTATTAGAAACAATGAGGAAATCACACAGCACTTTGTTGTACTGAAAGTGCACAGCGTTACAGATGCTCCTGGCATGAAGAATCACTGCTTCCTAATATAAGATAGATAACGCATCATATTTCAGATATATCAGGTAATGGAACTGTTATATATGTGTAAATGCCTGTGCAGACTTGTCTCGAAGCAATTTCTCTTTGGGATTAATAAAGTTTGTTCTGATTCTGAACTGAAAATCTCACTCCAGCCAGCTGACCGAAGTTCGCGACCCTAATATATCCCTTCTTGCTCTCCATGAGAGGGACAGAGAGATGAGAGCAAAGTCTGAGGTGAGAGTGAGCAGTCAGCCATTTGACATATACCCTGGAGGTGAGAGTGAGCAGCCAGCCATTTGACAAATACCCTGGTCAGTTTTTGCATTTAAGGGCCTTGCTCAAGTACCCCAACAGTGACACTACCTACCTCCCACTCACCTGCAACAACTTAACTACCTGTTTACATCCAGTAATTTTTTCCAAGAGTCCAAAATAGAACAGTAGGTGTTAAAATAATAATTCTTTGACTAATACAGCGGGGAAAATAAGAATTGAACATATACAACCTACGTCGTTTGTAACCATTTACAAATTAATTACGTTTTAGCTGTGTATACAAAAAATTAGGACCAGTGGGACTTGATAAAATCGAACTTCATTTAGCTATTAAGTTTTATATGTCACTACACTATAATTACGATGTTTTATTAAACCATCCCTGCATCATACCTATGTTTGTCGTTTTAGCATACACAGAATATAGATATGTTTTTAAGAATTTCCATGCGAAAAAACCCGTTTCGGTTTAAAACCATTTTACCACACGTTACAAGTTGCTTTCAATTTGTATACAAGTATTTAGAAACTTATATTTCCATTTGTACCATTAAATATTAATATTCGCTCATCCATCAATCTAGTACACTTCGGTGTTTTATTAAATTCCATTATACATGTAATATTATAACGTATTCGATCAAATACTATATTAAATTACTAGTATTGTTCTTTAAAGTAATGGATAAATCTTCAGATGGATAAATGTCGTCTTCGTTATTTCTAGAAATGCTTCTTTTTGACACTGCAGTAAAATCAACTGACGCAATACTTGAGGTCATTGCCTGCTTTCCACTGACTGAAACACTGCGTCTTGTTGCATCAGCCGATTCCAAAAAAAAAGAATTATAAATGACAGTGTTGCAATCCAATCCAGAACGATCTCTTTTGACTGACACTTGATTTTACCAGTAATGCCGTTATATGGTCATGCTTCGTTTGCCCAATTGAAATGCTTAAAATCCTTGGGACGCGTTGTTCTCAGTTTGTAGAGGGATTTGATTGGTTAAAATTACTTCCTCATTTCAATTTCTGTAATATGATTGGTTATTCTTTAAATAGGCGTCACACGCTATGCGGAACCCATGTATATATATAACAGAACATCTCAAACGAACCGCAGAAAGAGACGGTAGCGGGTGCAATTCCTTCATATTGAAGGCGTGTAACGTTTAGGGTACGTTGTCTTAAGTTAAGACCGAGTAGACAGCAGTAGGGGAGATTATAGTCGTTTAAGATTTATCTAGCTACTGGTAATTAGTGTAAGCGGTTGGATAGTAACAGTTATTACTCTTAATTATTTTTTGCTCGAATTAGAGATCAAAATGATTCTGTAATTGGAAAATGCGGTAACACTACTGCATCGGCATGCATCGTACAAGGCAAAGCTGCACCGCTAAAACTGCTCAGCAGTTTGGCTCAAATACCGTCCGCGGTATTTCTGCGAGCCATCCAATACCACTACTGCTCGATCGAAGGAAATATTCAGCACCTTGAATTTGCCACCTAGTCTGTACTCTACTCCATCAACACATCTGTAAAACCTAACCACAATGAAGTTAAAAGACATACTGTCGGAGAAGAGCCTGTGGATATTCGGGTACGGTTCCTTGGTTTGGAAACCCGATTTTAAATACAAAAGGAGCAAAGTCGGGTATATCCAAGGCTACAAGAGACGGTTTTGGCACGGGGACAATTTTCACCGTGGAAACGATGAAATGGTAAGCTGCTTTACAAAATGCGAATCATTGATCTTACACTATGTAATTATTAACAGTATCGACGTTTAAATACATCATATGACTAAAATGAGCTTTAAATGAATATGAGAAACACAGCTATACTTATTTTTTTTTTCTGACGTTCCTCTTTCTAGCCCGGTCGGGTGGTGACTTTGGTTGAAGATGATGACGTAAGTGTTTTTTCTTTTCCTTCCGGCATTGTCGTAATGGCACGACGGCAGCCTTTATATAATTTATTTCCTTCTGTCTCATCACAGATCATGCTTTTGTAGAGTTCACAAATTGTCAGTGTATTTACACTAAAGGTGAATGTTTAAGATTACCTGATATGGCATGATTCCTCTTTCCTGACTGACCTCTGCTTGGCTTTGCCCTGTAGGCCTGCACGTGGGGAGTGGCTTATGAAGTGACCGGCTCCCAGATCGAGGAATCCATGAAGTACCTGAATGTTAGAGAGGCTGTGCTTGGTGGATATGTCACCAAGATGGTGGAGTTTGTGCCTCGGGGTGACAGTCAGCCCTGCCACCAGGCGCTGGTCTACATCGCCACTGCAGATGCAGCCAACTACCTGGGACGTGCAGGCCACGGGGAGATCGCCGCCCAGATTGCAGTCTGCAAGGGCAAGGCCGGACACAACATCGAGTATCTCCAACGTCTGGCTCAGTTCATGCGGCAGCAGTGCCCCGAGGTAGAAGACCGGCACCTCTTCTCCATCGAGGCCTGCACCTTACACCTGGTGCACTACCTCTTCGGTTTCAAGTAGCCTCCAGCCTCTGCAGTCTGGCTGTGATTAGCCACATGTCCAGTCTGTAGAGAACAAAGATTCAGATGTACTGCTGCTATTCATTAATAGTCATCGTCATATGGTGCTGTAGCTTCAATGTCAGTGCTGTTTAGCAGTTTTGTGGAGTCTGATGCTGAGTGTCTATTGTGGCACCTGTGTGCTCATATCTAATGGAAGAAAATGTCAATAAAGTCTTTCCACATGATCACTGTACATCTGCTTCTGTTCTCTGCCTGTATCTTACAAATGCTGGTCTGCACTTTGGTTCACCAGTGACCAGGGTTTCTTTTGCTTGCCAGCTGTGATTCATTCGGTGTTGCAATTAATCAAAATATATGCCTTTAAGAACAGCATTGGTGCCAAGTGTTTACTCTTTAATTATGATGCCTACAGATTGGTTTCACCAAGCAGGTCAGTGCCGACCATGACCCCACATGGCAGCCAGCTGACATTAACCATAACGCGGCATGATTTGCACTTGATCTATGTATATATGGAAGTATGGCAACCCCAATTAATGTAGTGTTTCTCCTCACCACAGACAACTGACTACATGAGCCATTTATTCATTTAGTAGACAGAATAAAACAGGGAAAAAAAATCCATAAAGCTTTTTCTTGTATTTTATACATTTTTCCATTATGAAAGTTGGAGAAATCCTACAAAGATTTCACAATTCAGAATCTATATGAATAATATAAATGAATACGTATATCATAATACAAACAGTAATACCCATAATTTTTGATAGTAGTCATATCTAATGAGGCGCTGTTTGTGAAGGATCGCTGGTCTGATCAGCTGAGAAGGCAGTGCCCTCAGAGGTGAGTGGGCTGGCGTAGCGGAAGGGCCATATATGGTCCTTCCGCCTTGACATTCAAGCATATATCAGAAAACGGAAAGCAATATGCTAACCTGACCCTATGCACCTGCCCACCGCCCGCCCTAATTATTCAGACACCCTCCGTTTTCATTCCCGAAGCAGATATTTAACAATCTTCAGTCTGATTAATAGTACACAACAATTTGAATGTGGATGAACCTCTGAAGTAGCTTAATAATGATCCATTCTAACTGCAGTTCCCCTGTACATTATCTCTTACACACAGTGTAATTCAATTAGCATGTCTCCTGAAGTGTGGGACAAAGGAAATCAGTGCTTAACTTGTGACAATTTCACTCGCTTCTTTGTACAATGTAGAGTAAATACTCTGCAAATGGATACGTTTAATTGTATTAGTTGAGATCTTAACTTTTTACAGAAAACATTTTTACAGCAAAAATATAAAACATAAAATACGAAACAGATCAACAGTGATGCAATTTACTAATCAGGGTCCGATCTGTAAACAGTTTAAGTGGCTCAGCAAGAAAAAAAAGTCAACATTTTTAAATGATCACTATATAACAACAATGATCACAATGCATTTTTTGTTCTTCCTCTAAAAGGAGGCTGAGACACCCCCAACAGGGAACCAAAAAAAATTATTTAGCCCTTAAACTGTTGTACTAAATGGGTTTCTGTACTATGCCAAATGAGCACTGCTCAGGTGTTACTGTGTACTGCTGGCATCCCTGTCAGTGTCCCCCTCAGCGTCCCCCTGCATCCCTGTCAGTGTCCCCCTCAGCGTCCCCCTGCATCCCTGTCAGTGTCCCCCTGCATCCCTGTCAGTGTCCCCCTCAGCGTCCCCCTGCATCCCTGTCAGTGTCCCCTTCAGCACCCCCCTGTATCCCTCTCAGTGTCGCAGGTCCTCCTTTCATTCATGTTGCTGGTCCCTGCAGCATAATGTCTGGGATGAGGACAGGGCAGGGTTTGGCACAAGTAGACCTCACCGTATTAAAGTGCAAATACAGTGGAAAAAAAATGTACATTTCTACATTTGATTTTAATTACAAAGCTTAATAATAATAATAATAATAATAATAATAATAACAAACAACAACAATAATAATAATAAAGCACACCCCCCTGATTCTCATGGATATTTAGTAACAGGAAGTGCTATCAGACAAACGTATCTCTGACTTGCTGCCAATCTGCAGACAAAAGCAAGCAGTGTGACAGGGACATCTCGGCTCACTGGGCGGATCCCCGGGAAATGCGACACAAAGGAACCAGATGGGTATGTGCTGAATTTCACTCAAAGCTACGTAAACTGCAAAACTGGCATTTAAAACCATCTAGACTGTTCTGTTTTAGCTCATATTACAATAACCTAAAATCTTTAAAAAATCACAGATTACAATCTCCTTAATTTACTTACAAGGGACAGTATGCTGAAAGTCGTCTCTGCATCTGAAAGGGTAACAGGCCCTCCACGATACGAAGGCATTTACGGACTGACAGCAAATGATTTGTTTTTTACATAAGATCTCTCAATGCGAGCTGGTGAGTGGGGGTTTATTCTGCCAGCAACCCCCACCCTACCTGCCCTGAGTCCATAGAGGAAGATAAGGGACAATAGGGCTGAAAACGCCGTGACAGTTCAGCGTTTGCCGAAAGCCGTGCTCTTGTTTTGGGTGGTGGCCAGAGCGGCGGACGTCCCGCTGGGTATGAAGGTGGCAGCTGTGGGACGGGCCAGCGAGGGCGGCAGGGATCCGGACGCCTGCATCCCTGAGGGCAGATGGGAGTGACAGGGTGTTGGCACACAATCTCTATCACACAGATTATAGGGTCAGGGTCACGATTCTCGTACCTTTTGCTACGCTGTAGCCATAAGCTGCGTAAGCGGCCGCTGATGCTGCCGCCGCCCCCGCCATGGCCCCTGCCATTGCTGCCGCGCTGCCTGCCGTGGATTTGCGGCCACGCCCTTTCCCCCCTGACTTCCCTCCTCCTCCCGAACCCTTGGGTCGGCCCCGACTCCGGCCCCCCCTCCCACGGCCTGGACTGGAGGTGTCCTGAGCAGCAACACCTGGGAAGGAAGACAAATTCAGAATAGGGTTAGTGCCAGAAGATGGACAGACAGACAGACAGGCAGGCAGAAAGAAAGAATGAGAGATAGACAGGCAGGCAGACAGCCAGACAGGCAAGTACACAGGCATAGAGAAAGACAGGGATATAGGCAGGGAGACAGAGACTGAGAGGCATACAGACAAACAGGCAGAAACAGATAGACAGACACTGACAGCCAGACAGACAGGCAGGTAGGCACACAAACAGACAGATAGACAGGCAGGCAGACAGATACAGACAAGCAGCTAGGCAAGCAGACTCAGAGACAGACAGGCAGGCAGACACAGGTAATCTGGCAGTCAGACAGGCAGACAAGACAGGCAGGGAGGCAGACAGGGACAGGATGACAGACATAAAAAGACAAGCAGACAGACAGACACAGGTAGACCCACAGACAGGCAGATGGGCAGGCGAACATAGACAGACAGATAGGCAGACAAAAACAGACAGACACAGACAGATGGACAGACAGACAGATACAGATAGCCAGACAGACATTCTCCTATGCAGGTCACAGGCCAATAGTTGGGCAGTACAGAAAATATACAGTAGGTATGCTCAATAAAGGATTGCAGCCCAACTGGATTAATGATACCAACCGATATATCACTTACGGGAGCGTATTACTGCCACGACATAAGAAGAAAAATATTCTCACTATCACGTTATAACGTGAAAAAATCACATTAAAACGAGAAATCGTATCACGTGATAACATGAAAACATCATGTTTTAACGTGAAACCGTATCACGTCATAACATGAAAATATTACGTTATAACGAGAAAACCTATCCCGATAGGATCAGAAGTGAAATTGATCAGGGGCAGTGTTGTGCCGAAAAAGGCTTCCCTGCCGTAGAATGCATGCCTGTCTCTGGAGCGCGCACCACTAAAAACAGCGAAAGGAAAGCTCTCTTTTGTAACTCGTGTAAATGATGGTTTCTGTGTATGTAAACTCATAAAACGTATATAACACATCACACAACATTGTATTTTGTTAAAGTACAGATATAGAGCATAAAACTAATAAAATAAGTCGCGGATCTGAAAACGGTTTGTTACTTAACAGGCTGTCAAACGCCCGTTAATATCGATCGAAAAGTTCAAAACAGCAGACATGAACTTGGCAATAAAGCGCTTGTTACATTGTATCAGATGCACGGTAACACTTCTTTTCACGGAAAAAAAAGTCAATCTTTTTAAAACATCTGTCTCGTTCTAATCTATGGCTAAAATAGTGTGTGTGTGTGTGTGTGTGTATATATATATATATATACACACATACAAGATATATTTAGAATTTAGTAATTGTCATTGTTGACACATCACAGCACACAATAACGAAATGTGTCCTCTGCATTTAACCCATATGTGATATAGCAGGGGGCAGCTAATTCAGCACCCGGGGAGCAGTGCTTGGAGGTGGTACCTTGCTCAGGGTACCTCATATTATATATATATGGCTAAAATAGTGTAAATAGTGTTGCACCATGTAGCTCAGATGATACTTGTCTCCAAATAATTGTATTAAGAAAATGCGCTTCATGCTGGGGTCAGTGCAAATGCAATGAAGTCGGTGAGGGGATATATTTCTCATGTACTTGATGATGAGAGCTGCAGAAATGCAAAATCAAAGGGGATGCCTTTTTCGGCATACCACCGCCCCTGATCAATTTAACTTTTAATCCTATCAGGATAGGTTCTCGTTATAACGTGATATGTTCACGTTATCACGTGATACGATTTCTCGTTTTAGCGTGATATTTTCACGTTATAATGTAATATTTTAATCATTTTCAATTATGAGAATATATTTTTTATTAGGTCATGGCAGTAATACGCGTCCATAATAACAGTTTTTATTGATAAGTAGTGGTTAACATTTTACTTTGAATGATTTTGTTTTGGATGGTTTTACTTCCTATCAGACCCGCATGAACACAGCTCACCATTCATGTTGTCCGACATGGAGCCGGCAACAGACACTGGCGAGTTGGTGGCTCGAGACTGCGGGGCGGACGACACCGGGTCATCCACAATGACAAGCATGTCACTGCTGCTTTCGTCAGGAGGGATGGAGCCGGGCTGCAGCTCGCTGCTCAGGGAGATCTGGGGGGTAAAGGGTGAGGAAGGAAGGGCAGCCATGTCAGGACCAGAGGAAGGGGCGGTGAGCAGAGCAGCTGGGGCAAAATCACTGTACAGAGATCTGCATCTTCACTGGGAAAACTCTGTGACTTTCTCCATGCGGGGCCAGTGCTGTCTCGTATAAATACATCATTTATTTAGCTGTGACATAGTTATGTCTTTTTTGCCTTGTTTAATTGTGTTTTATATTAGTTTTACTCCTCTGAGCATATTCAACTTCACAGCTCCCTCCTATGTCAACTTCATCCCTCCTATATCCACTTTCTCTCTTACTGTCACTCCCTCGCTTTCCCACTATCACTCCCTCACTCTGTCACTCCCTATCTTCCACTGTCACTCCCTCACTCTCTGTCACACTGCCACTCTCTCACTTTCACTCCCTCGCTCTCCCACTGTCACTCCCTCAATTTCTCACTGTCGCTCTCTCACTGTCACACACTGCTGCTCTCTCACTTTCTCACTGTCACTCTCACTTTCTAAGTCACTCCCTCACTGTCTGTGCCACTCTCACTCTCTCTCTGTCTCCCACTGTCACGCTCCTATTGTCTCACTGTCACTCCCTCACTCTCCCACTATCACTCTCTCACTGTCTCCCTCTATCCCCCCAATGAGTCCTCCTTGTCTTCTTGCCCTCTTCACCTCGCTGAATGGGCTGGGCATGGCCGAGTCCATGTCCACGCTGATGAAGGAGTCATCTCCATCCGCCGAGAGGTTGGAATTGTCTGCCGATGGTGCAAAGGGGATGACAATGTTCACACCCTCCTTCCTCTTCTTCACGTCCATCTCATCCTCCCTTTTCCTCTGCAGCGCACAACACAGGAGCAGCTCTTCAGCCTCACAAAGTCTTGACAGTTTCCCAGCCAGGTTCTGCTTTAGCTACTCAATACTCCTCAGCGGGGGTCACAAACTTGTGTTGTTCTCAGTGCAGGTTACCTTCTCCGCATACTTTTCCCGCTTCCTCTTGCGGTCCTTCACCTTGGTGCTCTCCTCCTGCTGCCTCTTCTCTTCCTGCCTCAGCCGCACTGGAAGGAAACCAAAACACCATAACAGCAGTCAGTTGCAGAGACCCAACTTTGGTTTACAGCCAATCACAGAGAAACACTTTAATTCACAGCCATGGAGGTGCAGCTTTGGTTTACAGTCAAAATAGTCATTAATAGCAAATCAAAGACCTTTTAAGACCGATACTAACAAGGTGTTTATAAGCACTTACCTTCTCCAGCCTGTACATAACACCCTAATAATGCTGGCATGAAACCACACAGAACCATGAAGAATGGGAACTGTTCTAAAGTGCACTTTCCAGAGCTCAACGCTGCAAGTATAGGTAGGTGTGTCATGAAGAAACTCACGCTTTTTCTCCAGCTCCTCGTCGTCCAGCAGGAGGCTCACTACCTCCTTGGGCTTCAGGGTGTCAGGCTTAAAGTTCCCCCCGGATATAACCATTCTCTGGATCTGTGGCCAAAAGAGAGGTATGGCCTCATTCAGGTGCTGAGCTCTGAGGTTATCGCCTAATCCTTCTGCTCTTCTGATTCCATAGACGGTTCCTTCCAAATGACACCAGGAGAACCTCCGAGATCCAGAACATTCACTCCATGCTTGAGCATTCGGGTTTAAGCATCCATAATGGTTATTACTGCAGGTTAAGCGTTCCGCCCACCCGCACATCGCTGGGTTGGGCTACACAGCCCCTGCCCCCCCACCCCGGCGCCCACAGCCCTCACCTCGCTCTTCTCCTTGGCCCGCTGCAGGATGCGCTCCTCGATGGTGCCCTGGCAGATGAGGCGGTACACAGTCACCTGCTTGGTCTGCCCGAGCCGGTGGGCGCGGTCCATGGCCTGCTGGTCCACCGTGGGGTTCCAGTCACTGTCGTAGAAGATCACCTGCAGCGGGGCAGTCAGGCTCCGTCACCCACGGCCACGAGCAGAGGCACACCCAGGACTGCTGTACTGAAATCTGTTCCCTTACACTGGTACCGGTCCAAACCCATGCGGCACCCTAGGCCAGCTTCACCGCTGGTGCCCCTTTGAGGGGCAAAGTGTAATTGTCCTGCTAAGTTGGCACCCTCTCACAAGATGGTGCCCTTGGCAGCTGCTAGTGTCGGCCAATGGGTTGACTGACTCTGCCTTACAGCACTGCTAATCATAAATTTGTCATCTTTCACTTGAGCTACAAAGAAACACAGTAAGAAAAACACTAACTAAAACATTACTAAAGGCATTATCTCAGCTTAAAATATTATATGAATAAAATGATTAGCTATTCTTGTTTTTGTCGTCCAAATGGCTAGACAGAATCTCTCATAGCCTCGGCTTAAAGGCCACGCTGGTCACTCCTGATCTTCACAAGCACCTGTGTGTTCTGCCAGCAGACAGGCATCGCTTAGGGCAGCCTCATCCTGAGGTCCTGCAGACTTACAGTGTCAGCTGCAGTGAGGTTAATGCCGAGGCCTCCAGCGCGTGTGCTCAGCAGGAAGACAAAGATATCTGTCCTGTGTACGACACAGAGAGCGAGAGCCGCAGGTGAGAAGAGACACTGGAGAAACTCGCACAGAATCCTGGGAGACATCTCACCCGCTTCCAAAGAAAACTACCTGCAGTCAGACTCTTCAACTCATAACTCGTATTCAAAATTACACACAAAACATTTAGCCACAATAACTTGAAATGGAGATCTGAAGTGTGCAATACACTTCATGGCAGTGGATTCACTGCAGAACCACTGAAAATAAAGGCCAGCTGTGCTAAACAGCGGCCGACACTCAAGTCTGTGAGGCTCTTCCTGTGCTGACTTCATATTAAGCTGCAGCACCCTCTGCAGCCAGAGTCCATTGGGCCGCTACTCACCGGCTCTGAAAGTCGGCCACCATGTCGCGACGCTCGGAGATCTTGGAGGAGCCGTCCAGGCGCATGTAGGTGTGCTTCCGGTGCACCATGTACTCCTGGGACAGAGAGACAGAGACAGACTAAGCCTGCAGGCGTGGAGGGAGGTGCAGAGGGAGGTGCAGAGGGAGGCGCGGAGGGAGCAGCCCAGGGCCCTGGCAGCCTATAAGCTGGACCATCGGTCAGCCGCTGGCAGATGGAGCGAGACCCCAATGCCTCCCGGAGGCTGGGGGCCTCCCTCCTCCTCCTCCCCCCCCATGATCAGCTGGAGACAATGAGCAGGGCCATGAAGTAGTGCAGCCACCCAGCCAGCATACAAAGAGGAGACTTTCTTAGTTTAATTTGCTCTTTTATTGCGTTTTCTTTGTATCTGGATTCCAGAAAAGCAGTAATTAACTATAAAAGTCAACAACGAGGGCGGGGAGTGGCTCAGCAGGATAGGGATCAGTGCCCAAGTCCAGAAGGTTGTGGGCTCCACACCCTGGGTCTGTAAGAGTAATCGTAGCACCGCCAGGCCCTTCAGCTGCCTTCAGTGAGGCCCCTAGCTCTGGACTGCACCAGGCACTGGCTGATCCTGCTTACTGCATCTGCAGCATAAATAAATGTAAGTTGAAAGCCAGAGCGCGGCCCACACACACAGCAGAAGTCTGGAACCCCACAACTGTTAGTCTCATTGGCTTGAATCCAAGAAACCTATCACCCAGAAATCACTTTCAGCCAAGAGACACAGCTTGTGTGCCTCGCTTCATTCCACACATATCACTTATAAAATACACTGCAAACTTTCCATCATCATGACTGGTGATCTTGAAGCTATTCCTAAAAACACATCTGGCAAAATAAAAAGTCCTTTACTCCCAAAGCATGATGATCATTAATGATCGTGCCAAAGTCTTGCTGCCAACCTGGCACCCCCCAGGACATGCTCGGCAACCTTAGTGATGGCGGCCCCCTCTCATACCATGGCAGGCTGGCCCTTAGTCAACAGGGAGGCGCTGTCGAATCAAAGGGGTTTAGCAAATGCTTCTCCTTTTGGAATGTATTGTATTGAATGTAACCATATGGGACAGAATCATTGTACTATAACAACATAACACACTGATGAATCTGATAAGAGTGAAGCATTTTTATGCAGCTCCCTTGGAAAACCTGGCGGCGTTCAGGCCCGTCGCCCGTCACACATGCTGCGACACATGAACCAACACAGAAAGAAGCATGTTCAGCGCGCATCAGCGATCTGGCGCAGACCCAACACGTCTGCTCATCATTCCCAGGCTGCGATTACAGGAAAAACAGAGACTCTATTACATATATTCTAATTTACAAAACAAAATGAAAACAAAAGAATCATAACAATTGGCTTTAATGTCTGCCAAGAGCACTGGGATAAATCTGAGATGGGCGACTATGACTTGACCGGGAACGGCGCAGCAAAGCCGTTACAGCCATGTCCATGTCTGCTTTCCCCAGGGGACACACTGGACAGCCCCCCCCCCCCCCCCATATATAACACTGCTCAGCAGTATGGCTCTACTCTGCCATCCCGTCTCTTAGAAGCTCCTCCTCACAGGATGGTACATCATCTTTGGGAAAC